AGGGAGGATTCTTTTTTCTGATATCTGAATTTATTTGGCCAAGCTTTATAATTAAGTCATGTTTATGTATTCATTGGTAAATTACTTTTGTTGAAAAATTTTTAAAAATTGAGGTTTTCTGGAAAATCAGTGTTTTTTTTTATTAATAGGCAAAAAATGTTATTTTTTTTTCTGCTGTGATTATGTTGGGTCTTCCTACAATTATAAAATTTCTCATATGTAAAACTGAAAAGATACAGTATATTTCTTATTTTTTAGGAATGCTATTTTTTAAAGAATCTGAGTATATGGATCATGATCATTTCCCCTCATAAAAAATTAAGTGAGTGTTAGTATAATGGTTTGGAGTTTTCAAAGGGACATTTTGTAAATAGATAATTGGATGGTTCTAAAAAGCCTAGGCAAGTAACAGGAACCAGCCTACCTAAGTGTATAGATTGTTGGGTTAGGTGGAGTTCTCTGTTTAGCTGCCTTTTACTTTTCATTTGTACTGTGAAATATAATGTAACTAACAAAAAAATACTGAAAGTTAAACAGTTCAATGAATCATTCATTAAATTTAATGTATTTTTAACAAGGTAGATTTTTAACCACCACTGAGGAACAAAACAGAAAACTGCCTCAGAAGTTCTCAACCCCTGAAAATGATAACCCTTTAAAGCAGCAGTCCCCAACCTTTTTTGGCACCAGGGACTGGTTTCGTGGAAGACAATTTTTCCATGGATGGGGTTGAGAGTGGGGGCGGGTGGGTGTTGTGGGGAGTGGTTTAGGCATGAAACTCTTCCACCTCAGATCATCAGGCTTTATATTCTCATAAGGAGTGCACAAGTTAGATCCCTTGCATGTGAAGTTCACAATAGGGTTCGTGCTCCTATGTGAATCTAATGCTGCTGCTGATCTGACAGGAGGCAGAGCTCAGGCGGTAATGCACGCTCACCCACTGTTCACCTCCTGCTGTGTGGCCCAGTTCCTAACACGCCACAGATTGGTACAAGGCAGCCTGGGGGCTGGGGACCCCTGCTTTAATGATAACCACTCCCCTAACTTTCAAAGTAATTACTTTCTTATTTTTCTTGGATAGTATTGTTAGCTAAGTATATATCCCTAAATACTAAATTTAGGTTTTATTTTGCCTGGTTTGAATGTTGCTCTTTACTCTTAAGTTTCTCTTCTGCTATACAGAAAAATCTTATGACACTTAAATGTTGCAGATGTTTAGAATTTTTTCACCTTATTAGTTTGGGGGAAAAAGATTACTGACTTCTGTTGCCAGATATTTTTAGTCAGACAAATTATAATAAAGTCAAACATGAAATAAGTATTTTTGTGGAGAAGCCAAATTGTCCTTCTCATTTAGAGACTCACTATTAGAATAATCAATAAAATTACCAATGATTTGTTATTTTCCAACGTAAATACTTATTTGGTCTGAGTGAATAGAAAAATGACTTTTTCCCAACATTGAATAGTCTCATATTTGAAATTATTAAAATTACCATGGAGATAATAATTTCCCCAATAATTTAGCAAATACCTAAGTCATATAGTTTTTCCATTAGACTTAATTACATTTTATCCTTAAAATAAATTTCCTTAAAGTTTTGTTTGCATTTTTATTTGATCATTTAGAATTTTAAAATGTACAGTTGTAAAACTTATAAATAATAGACTAATAGTCTTTAAACATTTTGGCATGTTTGCCATCTCTCGGTCTCTTTTTATGCGTGTATATAGATGATGGGCATCACATATGTACATGTATACATACACGTATACATACATTTTTGGGGGAACCATTTGAGAGTAAGTTGCAGGCATCATGGTATTTTATCTTCAGATACTTCAGCTTGGTTTTCCTAAGAACAATGACATGCTCTTACATAAAAATTATACTATCAAGAAAATTAATAGTAATTTCATATCATCATCTGCTATAAAATCCACAATCAGAATTTCCTGAGTGTTCCCAAAATGTCTTTTATTTATTTATTTTTAAATCTATTTGGCCAAAACCGCAGTTACTTTTGTACCTACCTAATAGAATCAAATTCAGGTTCATGCATTGTATTTGGTTATTATACCCCATTAGTCTCTTAATCTAGAAGAGTTCCCATCTGCTCTGCCCTTTCCCTTTTAACCATGACATTGAGTTTTGAGGAGTCCAGACCAGTTGTTCTGTAGAATGCCTCACAGTCTATATTTTTATTATTTTTCTGGGCTTACCCTTATGATTAGGGCCAGGTTACATTTTTGGCAGGAATATTTCATACCTGATGTCATGTACTTCTTATTACACATATCGGGATACATAATTTCTGGTTGTTTCACTCTTAGTAGTCCTATGTTTGATCACTTGCATAAGACGGTGCCTGCCAGATCTGTTCATTGTAAAGACACCTTTTCCTCTTTGCAATTAATAATCATCTGTGAACTCAATTATCTGTCTGCGGAAAAAAAGGATATTTGTGGCATTATGAATGTGTTAATCTCACAGAGATGTCTTAACTGTAAGACAGCCTTACTGCGTTTCTTTAGTAAGCTTGTGTTCCCCCTCTCTACAATGATTATTTGAAAACTTTTTTCAAACCTGTGTTCCTTTATCTTTCCTATCACTTTTAAGAGGTCTTGGTTCCTTCTCCTTGGAAGGATGAAAGGAATGCCTCTTCTCCTATCATAAACCAGTGTAGTGTGAAGCAGTTAAGAGGGCTGGCAAGAAATTTGAGAGTGTATGGTTCTGGATCCCATTTTCAATACTCACTTGTTTACTTAGATATTAATCAGTCTATCTTGGTTTTCTCAACTGCATGAGAAGAATAATTTTTAAGCCCCTCATGGAGTGGTTGTGAGGATTAAATGAAATAAATTGTTATAAAATGCTTAGCACAGTGCCTGGTATATAGTACATGTTCAATAAATATTAGCACTTACGCAATTTCTTAGGAAACTTACTATGTTAATTATCCTGCCTTCTGTGTCTTCAACCCTTACGTGCTTCCCATAAGCATTTAAACTTACACAAAAATTTCCTATCTTAAACTAGCTAATCAACCAATAACTGACTAAAAACCCTTTCCTGCTTCTCACGTCTATTTTCAGGTCTTGTCTTATTTTTCACTTTCACAACCATATTTCTCCTTTGCTCCTTTCCCTTTACTGATCCCACCATATTCTGGTTTCTGCTCCCACCATTCTACTAAACTACCTCTGATAAAGTCATCATTATCTCCGTAAATTAATTTTTATTCTCTATTATTCCTAGTACTTCCATTTTATTCTTCATAAACATCAAAATGATCTTTTAAAAATGTAGCTCTGATCTCACTGTTTCCTAATTAAGACTAGTGAATTTCTGTTGTTGTTGACATAAAGTCTCAGATCCTTAATATAGTTTGCTAAGTCCTGCCTAACTGCCCATTCTTAGACACATTGCCTCTTTATTCTGAATACATGAGTCAGGTAAGTCCTTTAATTTCTTTGAAGAAGCTTTACTCATTTTCATTTTGTCCTGTTTTTTGGACCTTTCTCCGTTTTTTACTTGTTTCCTTTGGATAGTGCCTGTCCTTCTTTGAGACTTCAGCTTCAAGGTCATATTCTCAAAAACTTGTCTCAGAAGAAATGCAACATCTGTATTTCTTCTTCATAGCACATATTATAATTCTAATTAAATAATGAATTGGTTTATTCTTCTCTGTAATGCACACCCCATGAAGGCAAAAACTCACCTATTTTGTTTGTAGCAGAAACTCCAGATTATACTAGCATAGTTGTTTTGCTGGAAGATGTTCAGTAAGTGCTTGTAGAATGAATTATTATTGATCCATAGAGATGTCACTCATTTATTTTTAAATAATTTTTAAACTAATAGTTTAACTTTATTTATTTATTTATTTATTATACTTTAAGTTCTAGGGTACATGTGCACAACGTGCAGGTTTGTTACATATGTATACATGTGCCATGTTGGTGTTTTTTCTTTTTTTTTTTTTTGTGCAACGTGTTTGGAGTTTTCAATATGTTCTGTGGAAGTACGCTGGAGACTTTACCCTCTTCCTGCTAGATGGTCTGGGGATATACACTCAAGTGGCTGCTGAAAACAAGTGTTTTTTTTTTTGAGAGTTCCTGTTTTATCTTGAAAATACATGAACATATTGCTGTTTCTTAATATTCTTGTGTTCGTTAAGCAAACAAACAAAAAATGCCTAAAACTGTTTCATAGGTAGTAAAATAGACACTCTTCTGATTAAACATTTCACAGTACTTTCAGCCATTCCTCACTTAACATTGTTTTAAGTGCACTTGTAGCCTGTTCACACCACTGCAGAAACTATATTCCACAGTTTTTGGAATTCCAGAACTAAACGTAGTTATTCAAGTATTCAGCATAAAAATGTATTGAATGAGAAGATGGGTAAAACATGATGAGCAAAACTGTTGCTGGAACTGCTTGCATTTATCAGTCTTTTTTTTTTTTTTTGAAATTTGTGTAGGTACAGTAAGGTAAACGTTATAAGTTGACCTATTTTAGAAATAAGGTAAAATTAAATCTGTATCTTAAGACTCTATAAGCTTAAGAATGTGAATGATGCAGTAGTGCACCCTTTGTTTTAATAATGTTTTCTGAATCAACAAATGCTAAAACAAAAACACATTTTTAGTGCAAACAGTGGTTACATCTGTGATGAGATCTGCAAATGAACACTGTCCTTCCACTAACATTGTTAATGAACATGAATGCATTGCCAGGAGTCTAGCAGCTGTACATGTGTAATGCTAGTTGTAGTACACTTGACAGAATTCTGAAGAAAATCTCAAGTGAAATAGACTTTACTTTTTAAGGTATCTTGCATAATAGTTGGGCATTTTTTCTTTTTTCTTAGGGTATTTACTATAGTTACTTAAAGAACTGAAATTTAGAATTTCTGGAGATATTAGTTTGTGATGAATTCATGTATTCTACAATATGTAGTACCATATATACTAATTATTTATGTGTATAACAGGCAACTCAAAGTTATGTTGACGAATGTCCTATGGACGGATTTAGGACGAAAATTCAGAAAGACCCTACCTAGAAACGATGCTAATTTATGTGATGCCAACAAGGTGCAATCAGACTCATTGCCTTCGACATCTGTTGACAGCCTAGAGACATGTCAAAAATTAGAACCTCTTCACCAAAGCCTTAATTTATCTGAAAGGTATGTTGTTCAGTATTGATTTTGTTCAACTTACCACATTTGAAATAATTTGAATCCCGTACTCCTAACGATAAAATTGTTGAAATGACCTCAAAGAAGATTTGCATATATAGGCATACCACACTCTAAAGCAAATCTTAAAGCTGACTGTCTTAATTTACAAAGTTAGCTGATGTTTCTGTACTTCATTAAGCAGATTGATGTGGAATTATATTTAAAAACAAGTATCATTAGTACATTTAACTTATTTTATTATTATTTGATTCATGTACACATCTTTTTAGGGATTATTTTATGATTAAAATGAAGATACATATATATACATGTGTGTATATGTATTATATGCATATAAATGTGTGTGTATATATATGCATTAATATTTTATTCATCTTTAACATCCTTTCAAAATGTTATCTAATCTGGATCCTAACCACTTTTGACTTTTGTGAGCTTGTATTTTAAATGAATTTTTAAAAAAGGAGATGATGTTAAAATATTGCCTCTGGGTTTTTAATAGTAAATATTCAATTTAATTTTGTAAAGTAACAAAACCAATTTTGTTTTGTGTATTTTGAAAGAATTACATGGGAGTTTGGGGCTGAAAACTAGGAATTAGCTCTAGGAATCTATAACAATATCTTTTATGTATTACTATTTACAGTTTCAGCCATTAAATGAATGTTTTGGGGGGAAGGTACTTTATTTTCAGTTAGAATAACCTATAATTAGCTACACAGTACTTTGGTTATATGGTCTGTAATCTGACTGACAGTATATAAGTGCTTGAAGCCAAGACCCAGATAAAAACTGCTAACTTTCAACACAGTTATTTTTAAAATAAAAGTAGAATTCTTGTCAAAACATCTGAACATATTATACATTAATTCTTAAAGAGGATAATTCTTTAAAAAAGGCAAAAATCTTAAAAAGCTAAGTTTAACGAAGAAATTTCTTATTAGCTCATACCTGATATACATTTAATTTTCTAAAACACTGTAAATCTTAGAGTCAGACAGCTTAGCATCAGTAATTTATGAAGCAGCTTGCTCTCATTCTATATTCTAGCAGATTTTCTCCCCAGTACAAGTTAACTAATCTCTTACTGTACTGACAGATGTAAATAAAGGGGCTACTTAAAGCAATGACCTTCTAATATCTTTGACTCTTTCGAAAGGAAGTTTAAAACTCTCTTCAAATGACAACAAACTCATCAATGTCCTCATCCCGTGTCTATCCTTTTTCCAATCAGAACAGTGTGGTGATCCATTCTCTCAGAATAATAGTTTTACCACTAGGAATTTTTAGCATATAGATTATGTGTTCATGAAATTTAAATATAATGTGAAGTAAAGAGTCCCAGTAAGATTCTAATTTGTTTTTTGCTGTGTTTTAAAATATTTGTTGTTTTTTGTTCAGTTAGTGGGTGAACTACCAGCTAGTCCAGACCTCTTTCCTCAGCTCCAGGTGTCCTAAACTCAACTTGTTGTAAAGTGAGAACCTCATCTTTCTTTCTTTTTTTGTTTTTTCTAACTTCTTTTTTTTTTCTTGACTTCTTTTTTTTTTTTAAAAAAAAAATATATATATTTTATTATACGTTAAGTTCTAGGGTACATGTGCACAATGTGCAGGTTTGTTACATATGTATACATGTGCCATGTTGGTGTGCTGCACCCATTAACTTGTCATTTACATTAGGTATATCTCCTAATGCTATCCCTCCCCCTTGCCCCTCCCCACAATAGGCCCCGCTGTGTGATGCTCCCCTTCCTGTATCCAAGTGAACTCATTAGAACCTCATCTTTTCTCAAACTTGTACCTGTTTTTGTATTCCCTCCCTATCTGAATGATTGACACCACTTACAAATTTTAACTTGGGAATTGTCTTTGACTCCTCTTTTTTCCTTATCCTTATATCCAGTCATTTAACACACACACACACACACACACATATATATATGTTATATGTATGTATGTATGTATGTATTTTCTGGGGGGTGGGGACAGAAAATTAAACCTTATTTATTTTTAAAACCAAACCACTAGGAAAATATATCACAGTCTGGAAACAGTAAATGGACAGGCTATATTATCATTTCAAGTAATAAGTTGGTGCAAATACAGTGAGGTTGATATCAAAACAGTAAGGTGCCGTGCTGGGTTAGGAACACTGTGTTGCAACAGCCGCAGGCAGAAATGGCATTTGGTAATGGGGGCTGCCTCTCCTTTGCTTTAAAGGAGTCAGCTCATCCTAGCCCAAGTTGCTTACTTTTTCTTCCTTGAATTTCCTGTTGCCAGGGGTTTGTCTCAGTTGGGCTCTGTTAATTCAGGAGGCTAAATACGCAATACTAGGTTTAGGCTTTCATTCTATCTGTTCTATAAAATCCAGGTTTTTCCAAATCCAGTACTTCGTAACTCTTTTGTAATCAAGTAGCCAACTGCTCCTCTTTTACTGTTCATTCCTAGATACCAATATATATCACAGTCAAACCCCTTTCTCTTCCAAGGGGAAAGTGTTACTGCAAGATTGTCCTTTCATTTTGCTACACACAGCCTCAGGGTCCATCAGCCAGTAATTATGCTTCCCAATAATTGGTGTGTCATCGCCTCTCATGGTTTTGCACAGTCTCCAGGCTGAAAGATGCAGCATGTAATAATTTTAAGAAATGTACATCCACATCTTGATGACCAGAAATGGGGATCCACAAGGACCCTTTCAAAGTTCTTATCTAGTCTCCCTACCAATTCCACATCTTAAAATCAGCTTGTATGCCCTTGTATAAATTAAACAAAACCAAGAAAACAAAGACCCAGAAAACTTTTTTCCCTTCTAAGTTAGTGACCTCATGGATTTTGTTTCACAGCTTATGGAAAATGGTGTGGTGACACTTCTGGTAAACAGGATGTTGGCAACAAAGAGAAAATATCTCTCCTCAAACTCCACCAACTCTAACCTGCCAGCCTGTTGGTACCTGTGTAGTAAGAAGAATCTGGTGCCTCGGAGGACTCTGACTTGTTACAGGGAAGATCCTTACTGCCAGGACAAGCGCTGGTCATAGGAAATATAAGCTCTAAAACTCTCCTGTAATATCTCTGACCACTTTTTTCCATTTCACTTTTTAGGACCGAAACGTAAAAGAACCAGTGTCTAGATGCAAGTGACATATGCCTTACACTTGTGGCCATCCTTACTTTCTTCATTCATAAACTTTGCTTAAAAGACTAAAGTTCCCAATTCCTTATAAAAAATATGTTCTTGCCCTCAGCCCCGATGGCTACTGGCAAAGATTTTTATTTCCCAATGGCTAAGAGAGCTTCCTTCATCTTCTTGGTCGTAGTTGGGATGAGGTGCATGTGGTCATCCACACACTTGGTCACACAACCGTCTAGCTGCTGCTTCACCTGAAGCTCCTTACTCCTGCATCTATTGAATCTTTGGATGTGTTATTGCATTGCATGGTGCACCGGGCCAGGTGGTCCTTGAACTTCTCCAACTCACTGATGACCAAAGCCTGGGCTTGAGCCAGAGGCACATGGCAGCGCTTGATGCACTGGTGCACCTGCTGCAGGGAGGCCTGGCTGTCTTCACAACAGCTGGTGCTGTGCTGGAACATGAGACCCTGCATTTTCTGAATGTTCTCTTTCTCCAGACTCTTCACCATGGAGTCTGCCACCTCCTGCACCTGCAGCTGCTCTAGCTCTGCCATGGTGACCCTATGCTGCCCCGTGCTGTGCCACCATATATAGTTATTTTTAACCCCTAAATCTGTCTTTTAAAGGATCTCTTCTCCATCTTTATTGCCAGCACATCAGTTCAAGCCCTAATAACTTCGTGCCTTTTATTACTATGGTAGTAACTTGATTAGGTTTCCTTTACATAGCCTTTTTCTTCTTGTTTTATTCTTTATATTGTCAAAATATTTATTCTAAAAGGTAGATCTTGCTTGCCACTTACTAGTTTAACATCTTTCAATGGCTCCACGTAATCTCCTGGATAAAGTTCAAACTTCTTAGTTTGGCACACAAGGCCATTAATGATCTCACCTTTGCTTATCTCTAATTTTGTGTCTGTCTATTCCTCCATATTCACAATGTACTTCAGATTTAGGGAACTGTTTTCAGCTTACTGAATGTGTATACTGTTGTATACATCCTGTTTGTTTTCTTGTCTTGGAAACTATCCTCCTTTTTTTTTTTTTTTTTTTTTTAAGGAAGCCTTCCTTGATTCTACCCTCCAAATCTGTATATGATCCCTTTCTTTGTCTTGCTAAACAGCTTGTTAGTATATCATAACATTTATCACACTATATTGTGATTTTTAGTTTCTCTTCCTCCCTGCAGCAAACTTCCTGAGGATAGGAACTATATTTTATTTCTTATTTTTTCTTTATTCCTAATATAGTACTGGACACTTATCAAATGCTCAGTAAATGTTTGCTGGATAAAAGAAGGAGATTGCTTCTCACTAGAGTTGCATCTCTAGACACTCTGTCTGACATATATTTTCCCTGTAAGAACCAATTACATATTCAGTAACTTTGGTGACAACCAGGAAAAGAGATACTAGAAACGTCAAATAAGGAAACTGGAGAACTCTTTTGTGTGTGGCTTTAGATAGATGTTTTCTACCTGAGACTTGCTATGTGTAATAGGAGACTTCTGCTTTCTCCAGTCTTTGCTTAACTTTGATATGAGGCTTTTTGTTTTATTTTCATTTCTACTCAGGACTTAAAATTTTAGAAAGATAAGAGGGAGAAACATTTATTTCTGCATTTTAATTTTATCCTAAAGTGTAATCATTGAGTAAACCAAAATTATTCAGTTCCAGAAATGGTATTTTGTTGGACATTTTATTTGCATTCTGGAATCTAAAGAAGTAAACTAAGTATCTTGCCTTTTATGTGAGGGCAGTTTGGCTTTTTGATTTCAGGATAAAATTGAGAAGAAAAATGGAAAAGACAGTTCAAATCAATTTTGTAAGTAATGGAGAAAAGGGTTTTAGA